GCCGGCAGCCAGCTGTGCCAGAGTGAACCAAGCCACAAGCACAGAGGCCGGAGGCCCGAGGGCCCCCTTTGCCCTGGAAAAGGCCTGACCGAGCAACAGGCACCAGGCCCCGCCAAATAGTCACCGGGAGTGAGCTGGTACATACCTGAGCACCCAGCCCCGGACAACAAGAACAAGAACCACCAACGCACCGACCCTTGAGGACATCAAGAACTGGCAGGGAGTGTGGTGAGGGGAGATAGGCCTTTGGAGGGCCTGGGAGTTCCCAGAGTGAACAGTTGTTGGAAGATGTAAAGCCCATCTGGAACATCCGATGACCTGTATAGTGCACTCTATGTAGTATTTTGTACTGTATAAATTGCAGACTGGGATTTCTAATCAATTTAAAGGTTTTTAAGCATATCCGAGACCAGAAGTTTTGGTCTAAGCTGACTGACAAATCTGCTAGATACTGATTTTATGTTCTACGTTCTTACATTTTATGCCCTTAATTGTTGTAGCCTGTCTAAATGCTGCTGCTAGTGGTTCGATAAAAATTGCAAACAGTGAAGGGGAGAGTGGGCATCCCTGTCTGGTGCCCCTCAGGAGACAGAAGCTGGAGGATGTCTGGTCATTTGTTCTGACACAAGCTGTTGGGGAATTATATAATATTCTTAGCCACTTTATGAAAGAGTTTCCAAAACCAAATTTGTGTAAAGTTGCAAATAAAAATTTCCAGTTAACTCTGTCAAACGCTTTTTCTGCATCTAGAGATAATATTGTGGTTTCAGTGTTTTTACTGTATGAGTAGTCTATTAAATTAAGTAATCTATGTGCGTTTGTTGATGAGTGTCTACCTTTTATGTAATCAGTTTTGTCAGGATGAATTAAGAGGGGGGTTATTTTCTCTAATCTTTTAGAGAGGGCTTTGCAAATTATTTTGAGGTCTACATTTATAAGGGATATTGGAAGTTTGAGGGAAATAAAGGGTCTTTGCCTTTTAGCGGGTCTTTTAGCAGGAGACTAATGTTGGCAGAATTCATATTTGGTGGTAATCTGCTATTTTCCTTAATTTCCTGCAACATCCGTGGAAGACTGGTGCCAAAATTCTCCAGAATTCTTTGTAGAATTCTGCATGAATGCCATCTGGACCTGGAGCCTTATTGTTGGGCATACTTATCAGGGCTTCCTGGAGTTCACCTGGCGTCAGTGATGAATCCAGTGCCATTGCTTGACTGTCTAGTAATTTTGGAAGAGTTACGTTGTCAAGAAACTGATCAGTTTCATTTTTAGATGAGTTTATTTGTGGTGAATATAGAGTTTCATTGAAATCCCTAAAAATGTTGTTTATTCTTCCAGGGTCATATATTGTGTTTCCAGATAAATCTTTAACAGCACTTATAGTTGTTTTTTATTTATTTATTTTTAACTGGTTAGCTAGAAATCGACCTGACTTGTTACTGTGTTCAAAATTCTGCAAGCGAAGTCTTTGTACTAGGAATTGTGTTTTTTTAATTAATAATTTCATTCAATTCTAGTTTTTTTTCCCATATTTTGTTCATTATTTCTTGATCTTGGTCGCACACGTATGCTTCTTCTAAGGATTTGATGGTTTTTTTTCTAGTTCCTGAATATTTTTGTTTTCTTCTTTCTTTTTGTGTGATGAGAAAGAAATTATTTTACCTCTCATCACAGCTTTCCCTGCTTCCCATTGAACAGATGCTGATGTTCCGCGAGTGTCACTATAATCTAAATATGAAGTCCACTCTTTTTTAAAATATTTAATAAAGTTTTCATCTTTGAGCAGTGATGTATTGAATCTCCAGTTTTTACTTGGTGTAGCGTTCTTCATATGTGTTAGTGTTAAAGATACAGAAGCATAATTGCTGACAGCTATAGGGTGAATCTCAGTGTCTGAAATATCGCTCAGCAGTGAGCTGCTGACTAGGAAATAATCCAGACTAGAGGAGGAGTGATGGACATGTGAGAAGAAAGAATATTTCTTACTGTTGGGGTGAAGGGAGCGCCATGCATCGCAAAGGCCATAGTCGCTCATATACTGTTTGATTATATTTGTGGACTGCCAATTGTGCTGAGTTCCTGCTGTATTGAGCCTATCCATTTCTTCATTTAGTCCAAGGTTGAGGTCGCCTCCAAGAATAAGTGTGCAATCAAGGTGTTCAGAGAGTGTACTAAAAAATTCTAAAAAGAATGAGGGTTCATCAACATTTGGACCATATATACTTACAATACATAGCTTTTTGTTAAATATTGATAATTTAATAATAAGGAATCTACCCTCTGGATCTATAACTGTATCGGGTACTGTAAAATTAACATTTTTATGTATTAAAATTGCTACTCCCCTTTGTCTAGAATTATAACAGGCTGCAAACACATTAGGAAACTCAGGTGTTTTAAGTTCGTTTAAACCTGTGACAGGCCTGTGAGTTTCTTCTAATAAAACAACATCTGCCTGTAGTTTTTAGGCTGGTTAAATATCTTTAACCTTTTTTCTTTTGTGCCAGCTCCATTTACATTCCATGTGACAAACCTTAGTGTGCCCATAATTCTGTGTGTATGTCTAATGATGTACGCTGGGTGTTTTGTTTAGACTGGCGAAGAGAATGTGGAAACATCACTTGTTTGTAAATATAAAGAGAAAAAAAATATGTGGCGAAAGGCTCCATAGGTCTGACTATGTGTGTGTATATTCACTAATATGAACAAGCGTGGCTTGCGTGTGTGTCCTATATGTCTGTGTGAGATGTGAGGCTGTTGTAAATGTGCTGCCGTTGAGCACATGTCTTTGCGTGATCGTGGTGTGTGAATATGCAGAAATAGATGGTGTTGTTTGTAGGTGAGTGGGGAAGTAGGTGATCACAGCAGTGAAAGAAAAGAGAAAGAAAAAAACCACGAGAAGAAAAAAACCACAAGAGAAAAAAACCACGAGAAGGATTTTTTCTAATGAAAACTGAAAATCTCCGTTTAAAAAATACCCATGTACATGTGGACGTACCCTTAAATGACAGAAAAACAAACCATCTTTATGGTGTAATTATTTTATTGTAGTTTTGTTTTTTTGTTTTGTTTTTTTTTTTTGGGGGTGGGGGGGTTTTTTGTTTTTTTTACTGTGTAAGAATATAAAACATTGTAATTGTAGCAGCATCAGTATGATATTGTTTTTTATCCCACTGTAACTTTACTGTATAAGTAAGTATTAAGTAAGTAAAGTTTATTTATATAGCACCTTTCAGAGAGATATGTCACAAAGTGCTTTACAAAAAACGTAAGAAAACACAATGCAGTCATAAATACATCATAAAAACTCTGGTCTAATTAAAAGTTTTTTGAAATAAAAATGACTTTAGCTGCTTTTTGAAGGTCTCAACCGAGTCTAGGTACCGTAGAAATAGAGGAAGTGCATTCCACAGTCCGGGTGCAACAGCTTGTAAAGATTGGTCCCTTCAAGTTCTACAACGAGTGTGGGGGACCACAAAAAGGTTTTGATTTGAAGACGTCAGTTTACGAGAAGTATGTGTACGAATTGGATCAGCAATATAGGGAGGGGCCTGTCACTGTAATGCTAAATTTTAAAACGAGAATTTTTATTTTTTTTATTGGTAGCCAGTGCATTGACTTTAAACAAGAGTCATATGAGCTCCCTTGTTCGAACGGGTCAGTAGTGTCACTGCAGAGTTTTAACCAACCTCTAGACGAACTAGCGCTTTCTTTTTAAGACAAGTAAACAGGCTGTTACTGTAGTCTAGTCTTGTAGAGACAAAAGCATGGATTATCATCTCGAGTTCACTTGTTGACATGATGGATCTAAGTTTTGAAATGTTCCTCAAGTGAAAAAAAATGGTTCTTACTATCTTACAATTTAAATGTCCTTCCAAAGAAAAAAGATTTATCACAAATAACACCTAGATTTCTAAGGTTATGCTTCTGTGAGGAACCTAAATCACCCAGTCACTGTTTAATATCAGGTATTGAACTGTCTGGTGCAATAATCAAAGTTTCTGTTTTGTCTCGGTTTAGCTGTAAGCAATTATTGTTTAACCTTTGTTTAATGTCGGTTAAACAGTCAGAGCGGAGAGCTTATGAACACCCAAAGGCTTAAATGAATAGTATAGCTGAATATAGTCAGCAAAAAGATGGTAAGATACTTCAAGAAACTGCTGTATTATCTGGGTTAAAGGAAGACTATATTAAAAACAGAATAGGTCCCAGCACAGAGCCCTGAGGAACTCCACACAGCAACTCTGTAGATTCCAACATGATCTGATTTGCAGACACACTAAAACTCTTTCCAGATATGTAAGATGAAAACCAGTCTAGAACAGAGCCAGACATCACAACCAGATCTCTCAGCCTGTTTATCAGGATGGTATAATTAATTGTATCAAAGGCTGAGGTAATGTCTAACAAGACTAGGACTGTGTATTCTCCGGAGTCTGCTGACATTATAAGATAAGATAAGATAAGATAAGATAAGATAAAACTTTATTCATCCCTCGGGTGGGTTCCTCTGGGAAATTTGTTTTCCAAAAAGCACAGCACCGACAGAAGTTACAGAGTTAAGAATATTATATATATATATATAT